CCCAGTTCCTGTCACATCCAGACAGTGTAATGCAATGGGAACAGCACAGCTCGGGGATCGGTGACTCTGGGTTCAGATGGCGCCTCTGCCTCTTCCTGAGTTCGTGATCTTGGCCAGTCATTTATCCTCCTCTGAGCCTGATGTTATCCATGAAAAGAGAACAGCAACCCCTGTTACATGTTACCTTGCTGTGAGTATTAAATAGACACCACCTGTGAAAGCCCCAACGTAGTCCCTGGCACAAACTGGGTGCTTGGAACCGAAATGACTCCCAGCTTTTACAAAAGCCTTAGAATATACCAGGCAGGGGTGGGGGGTGGCTGTGCAAGTGCCATTCACACACTAACACATTTAATCTTCACCACGACTCTGTGAGGTGCTGTGTTAGTGTCCCTGTTGTTATCAACTCATTAAACACTGATATTAATAATCATGATAAAAACAGTGGACATTTCTTTAACGCTATTTACTGAGACCGTGTTCAGCATTTCTCTTGTTCTCATTTAATCTTTTCAGTAACCCCATGACATCAATCCTATGATTGTCCCTATTTCACATCTGGGGAAACTGAGGTTGGTGGCAGTGAGAGCTCTTACCCAAGGTCAGTCAGCCAGGGGGTGGCAGAGCCAGGATTTGACCCTGACAGCCGGGCGTCCCCCAGGATGCTGTATTTTCTTGACCAAGAAGGACCTGTGGGCAGCCTCAAGAGAAAGAGATGAGTGACACACACTCTCTCCTGCCCTGGGACGGCCTGCTGCTCTACCCACCTGTCCTGCTCTACCCACCTGTCCTGCTGCTCTACCCACCTGTCCTCCTGCTCTACCCACCTGTCCTCCCTATTTTCCTCTTTCCTTTCCTCTCTCCCTCCTCCCCTCCCTTCCTTATTTTCTATTTTCTTTTTTTTTGGGTGGTTGGCCAGTACGGGAAGCCAAACTTGTGACCTTGGTGTTACCAGCACCACGCTGTCCCAAGTGAGCTAACCGGCCAGGCTTTTATTTTCTTTCCTTCTTTTTAGCGAGGTATTGATAACTTACATACATGGAAGTTCATGAATCTTAAGGGTGAGACTCACCGAACTTTCCCTTGTGTCTACCGCTGTGTAGCTGTCACCGCAGTCAAGACATAACACATTTCCATTGCCGAGAAGGTTTCCTGTGCCCCCTCCCAGTCAGTAACCACTCTTCTGACTTCTATTGCCATAGATTCATTTTGCCTATCTTCTAACTTCATTGAAAGCTTTTCCAGTTTTACATAGGAGGAAACTGAGGCTGAGAAGTGACGTGACTTGTTCCGGGTCCCCCAGCTTCTAAGTGGCAGAACCAGGAGGTGAACCCACATCTGTCTGCCACTGCCCCATGGGTCTTCTCATTGCCCATGCTACAAACAGCGGGAGTCAGACCCACAAGAGTTCCCAAACTGCAGTGAATCCACAAAAAGCATTTATTTTTCTTTCAGATGGGCTGATTTTTGGCAGCCCATTGGCCTTTTAAAATTGGTTCAGCCAGTAAAGTCAGATAGCCTTGGCAGGCCCCTGCTGACGGTTGGCTATGGGTGGCAGGAAGCCAGCAGCCCTGGAACATTTGCCTTGGACGCAGAAGGCGGCCATGCTGACCTCATCAGGCAGCACAGGTGATTGAATCATGTATATCCCACAGCCTGGGGCCCTCGTGGCTATGGGTGGCAGGAAGCCAGCAGCCCTGGAACATTTGCCTTGGACGCAGAAGGCGGCCGTGCTGACCTCATCAGGCAGCACAGGTGATTGAATCATGTATATCCCACAGCCTGGGGCCCTCCAGGAAGGAGCTTGGGAGCAACCAGTTCTGGCCTTACATAACCAGACTGGCCCAGTGTGCTGCAGGCCGGTGTGTTTTCCATTCCAGCCAGCGCCTCAGCCCCTTTGTTCTGGGTGGCCTTTCAGCCCCAGGGAGCCTGGCCTCTGCTTATTCTGGTTAGGAAGGCAGCATCCATGCCTGGGAGAGGCTTCCTGGGGCCTTGCGGGTGAGCTCACCTTGGCGCCACACCTGGGATTCGCCTCGCTTTTGGCTGAGGTCATCCCCAGAGGATTGCCAGGGGGTGACATCATCCCACAATCCCTCAGTGATGCGCAGAGGCCCAGCCTTGCCAGGTGGGAAAGGTGAACAGCTCCAAGGAAGAGTCTTACTCACCTGGGAAGGGAAGTTGGAGGCTCTCCCTCCATGACCATTTTGTTAATCACGTAGCAATTTCATTACTCAACCACCCTCCGGAGTTGCGAGTTGAGGCTGGGGTAGAAATTGGGTGCTGAAGGCTAAGGAGAAATCGATCCTCCTCTAGGTTAACCTCCTGTTCACTTCTCTCCCACCAAGCACAGGCCCATGTGTCCCCTCCCCACACCCTATGGTCACTGAGGGTCCCCCTCATCTTCTCCCTTGACGCTGGATGCTGAGGAGAGGGAGGGGAGGCTGTGGAAAGCCTAGGGCGTAAGGCAGACCTGGGTTGAGATTCGAGCCCAGCCCTTTCCTATTATTTGACCTTGGGGATGGAATACACCCTCTCTGAGCCTCAGTTTCCTGATTTTAAAATGGGGATTGGGAGATTTCATAGGAGCAGATGGGATGATGTGAATGAACGTAGTACCCCCTCCGCCGCCCCCCAGTAGGCCTCCCGCAGCTTAATGAACGGGCTAGGGGTCCAGCAGTCTGAAGGCTGAGCTGCTTCTGTTGCTCTCATGTCGCTGGGAATATCCTTATGGCCCCACAAGGAAACAGTCCCCACTGCCTTTCTGAGCCCACTGTTCCTTAATTGCGCACCAGCTATATCATACTAGGTGCTGAGGGCACAAAGATGGGGACTTTGAAAAAGCGAAATTCCCTTGACCTGGCCCGGCTCGTTCTTTCCCAAAGACATGGCCATTTACGAGGCTCTCCTACGGTCTGATTGTTCAGAGTGGGCAATCTTCCTTTATTTTACAGCCTATGGACAGGACCCAAGAGGCCTAATAAATTATTAACATAACCACAGCCCAGCCACCTCAAGCATTCCCCACTAGGCCAGGCCTTTAGATTTGGTTCCCCGTCCCTGAAGGGAGTTATCTGGGAATCAGAAGTGAGTGTCAGACACAGCTGTCTGATATCCACTTGGCAGCTCCTCAGGGTTGTCTCCAAGATAGCTCAAGCTCAGCACCGCCTCTGGAGTCCCGAACCACTCCCTCCCTGCCAGTCCGGCTCCTTCCAGGGGCTCTCAGCCCGACGTGTGGTCTAGAAAGAAACATGGCAGTCTGCCTGTGTGCCTCCCTTGATCTACCCCCATGTCCCACCTATCCGTCCTGCCTACTCACTGTATCTGGCATCCCTCCCTCCTCTCCATCCCTATCACATCCCAGCCAGGTGGCCATCATATTTTGCCTGGGCCACTACAGCAGCTTCCCATCTGGTCTCCTTGCTGCACTGTGGCCAGAGGGAACCTGTTGAAGTGCAAACCTGACCACGCAGCTGTGCTCAGCCTCTAGTCCCTCCTGAGCTGGCCCCTCCCACTCTCCGACTGCCAGGCTTCCTTTGCTCTTACGCTGCAGCCATGCAGCCTTCATTCAGTTCCCCAAGCCAGCCATGCTCTCCCCACTTCCAGGCCTTTGCACATGCTGTCAGGATTTCCCTTCCCCTCTCTGCCAGGATAGAGCCTCCTCATCCTCTGCACCTCAACTTACATCTCAGAGAAGTCTTCCCAGCCAGCTCTCCCCAAAAGTCAGTCACCCTGCAGTCCCTCTCCTGGCACTCTGCAGCTTTCCATCAAAGTACTAATCGTAGTTGGTGGCAACATGTTTATTTAGGAGGTGAGTAATGTCTGGTTCTAGTGTCTGTAAGCTCAGTGAAGGCAGATGCCACATCTGTCTGGTTCTTGACTGTCTCTGGCACCTGACAGGTAGTGGGTACTCAAAGAATATTTGTTGAACAAATGTGTGTTGTGAACAGATCCAACTCTGTGCTGTTATCCCTGACAGCAAGGTGATGTGGCTGTCTGTGGAGCCACCTGCCCCCTAACTATTATTCTGTGGTCAACAGAATAATGAACTCCAGCTCCCAAAGGTGTTTACATCCCTGTCCCTGAAACCTGTGACTGTGCTACTTTACATGGTAAAAGGAACTTTACAGATATGATCGCATTAAAGATCTTGAGATGGGGAGATGATCCTGGGCTATCCTGGTGTGCCAGATGAAAGTACAGAGTTCTTATAAGAGAGAGGCTGGTGATCAGGGAGCAAAGAGGCAACGCTGCTGGTTCTGGAGATGGATTAAGGGAGGCCATGAGCCTAGGCATCTCCTAGAAGCTAAAAAGGCAAGAAAACGGATTCTCCCCTGGGACCTCCATAAGGAACACAACCCTGCAGACCATTTTAGACTTCTGACCTCCAAAAGTATAAGATAATAAATTTGTGTTGTTTTAAGCCATTAACTTTGTGATCATCTGTTATAGCAGCCACAGGAAACTAATACAGCTATCAAGTCGGTTCTCAGGACTGGTTCCTCCCCTAGGACATTGTGATGAGGAGCATCTGGGAATTCCTGATTTCCCAACTGGATGGGGAGGGATCTCAAGAAAGGAGGCAATAAGGTGCTATGTGCCTGTTGGTGCCAGGCTCTGATCCCTAGTAAGACCCCATTTCTTATTCCAGTATTCAAACCACCCCATTAGCAGAGGATGGTGGTGTCCCTGGTTAACAGATAGGTTCATAGAGGAGAACATAAAAAGAGCCAGAGCCAGGCTTTGAACTTGAATCTGTCTGACTCTGAAAGATGAGTTCTTCCCACCACCCCACCCACCTCCCCCCGAGCAGCTGCCCTTCCTCTAAGTGATAGGGTGGCATTTGGAGGGTGCTGTCGAGATGGGATATGCAGGCTTCGCCCAGATGGGAGTCTGGGTCATCTGAGCAGTGGTCACCAAGTGAAGTGGCCCTTGGCTGTCCCCTGCAGCTGGGATCTGTGCCCCCGGGTCAGTGAAAGTTTCTGTACTTGTCTCTCCCTCAGTGTGAACGAGCTCTATGTCGATGACCCGGACAAGGACAGCGGGGGCAAAATCGATGTCAGTCTGAACATCAGTTTACCCAATTTGCACTGTGAATGTGAGTATTCCAAACAGCCCAGGGCTCCAGCAAGACCCCTCCTTTGGGCAGATCTATGTGTGCATAAATGGGGAGATATCCAGGATAAGCCAAGTGGATGGGGCAAGCTCCAAACAACATGTAGCATGATTCTGCCCACTCTTTTCTTAGAGGAGAATGTCATTGAATATGCATGCACTTGGAGATTTTCTGGAGTAAAAAAGCATAAGAAACTACTCATAGGGGTTACCTGTGGAGAGCAGCTGGGTTGGTGCATGGAGGTGGGGGGTGCCTCTTAGGTCTAGTTTCTTAGAAGCAGAACCTGAGATTCTCGTGCAGGGGGTGTATTGAGAGGAAGAAGCTGTCAGGAAGAGAGAGATGCAGGCTAGGGCAGGATATGCAAAAATGTGTGTTCAGCTGAAGTCCAGTCTCAGCCTGACCTCACAGGATGCTGCAGAGTGTGAATGGCATCATAGAGCTTGTCCCACCCAGGGGTGTATTGAGAGGAAGAAGCTGTCAGGAAGAGAGAGATGCAGGCTAGGGCAGGATATGCAAAAATGTGTGTTCAGCTGAAGTCCAGTGTCAGCCTGACCTCACAGGATGCTGCAGAGTGTGAATGGCATCATAGAGCTTGTCCCACCCAGTAGCAATGGGACCAGGCTGTTATACCCATATCGTTGACTAACAGCTGCAAGGTGGTATGTATGGGATTGATGGGGGTCACAGAACCTCCCAAGCATTTCAAGGCAAGGAGACCTCCAATCAGCCAAGAGTGTTCATCTGAAGGAGGGTGCAGCTTGGAGACATTAGTGGCCAACACCTACAGAAGCTGGGGTGGGTGCACTCACAGTGAAAAGGAGTGGAGCAGGGCTCCCGCAGCATCTATTACTGGGGAGAGTCAAGAAGTGTCCTTTTTACTTCATACCAAGTTCGTCTGTGTATTTGTTTTAACCAAGAGAATGAATTATTTGTGTAAAACAAAACTCATTCAGTGTCAGATCCTGGGTCCTTTACTTACTAAAACTGACCTTGGCCAATGTGACCTCTCTGAGTCTCTGTTTCCTCATCTGCAAAATAGGCTTAGTAATATCTATTGCCTGAGGTTGTTGGGAGGATCTGTTGAGAAGGTTCCTAGACTCGTTAGCTAGCAGGTAGACTGGGTGTCCTCTCCTGGACGGGGATTCTAGCTGTCCCTCTGCCCCGACCTGGCGTATAACCTGATGCAGCCCCTTCTCCCCTTTCCACCCTCTCCTTTCTATTAAAGGGCTAGGCCAACAGCAGAATGTTGGGTGAGTCTCCAGCTAGAGATAGAGAATGAGAATTATGTCACAATTTTGAATCCACGATAGGCCCCAAGCCAGGCAACCTATTGAAATAGGTTGCTTTTATTTTTTATTATTTTTTCTTTCTCTTAGAAAAATAATTCATCTGTCAGCTTCTCATTCAGGTGTTGATTGTGTCTCTGGAGTAAGGAAATTCTTAGCCAGGCCAGAGGATTGGGATCCATGGGGCAGGGAAAGGAAGTGATGTGGTTGCAGGGTCAGTCTCAACTCCGGGCATTGGCTCAGGAGGGGTGGTGGCAACTTCTGGCTGCTGGCTGTGTTGGCCCCTCTGCCCTGCTCCCCACCAGGCCCTGCCAGCTCTGAGGAGCTATAATCTGAACCCAGGTGGATCCCCCCAGAGCCCAGTACCCTGGCATTTCTTTAAAAAAAACCTTCAAACTTTTATTATAGAAAAAAATGCATGCTCATCATTGCACCTCTGGAAAATCCAGAGAAGCAAAGAGAAGAAATCGCCTGTAAATCCACCACCCAACGATAGTGTCGGTTGACTTTTTGACATTATTCTGTCCAGCTGGCCTTCCTTTTTGTGCATTTCTAAACATGGCTGAGATTATGCTGCATGTCCAATCTCATATCCTGCTTTTAAAAATAATATTCTTTATTACACAATTAATACAGCAGTACTTTTTTATTATTTAAAAAAAGACATGCATTCACAGTACAAAAATATATTTTTAAGAAAGTAAAAGTTCCCCTTTCCCGTTTCGCTTTGTCATTCTCCAGCGTGCCATCTCCACCACAGGAAGCCTCTGCTAGCAGTTGGGCCGCCTTTCTCCACCCCTGCGTGTGGGTGTGTGTGTGTGTGTGTGTGTGTCTGCAAAACTGATAAGTACGAGGGTTTTGTTTTTTTTTTTTCCTTTTTATATAATTGGGACCCTACAATATAGGACACTTGTAGAGTTTTTTTTAAGCTAGTGTCTTGGAGCTGTACTTATATTACTCATAATCATAAAATAATAATTCAGCTGTTATTTTGGGTCAAGCCCTGCCCCAAGTCCTTCAGCTGTATTAACACATTAAGATGAGAGGTGTTCTAGCAGATTGGCTAAAGGGTGTGGGCTCTGGAGGAAGACTCCCTTTGTTCTGATCCAAGCTTCATAGCTGTGAGCTCTCTTTGCCTCAGTTTCCCCAAATAGAGTGGGGCTGATAATATATCTTCCCCACAGGGATGTTCAGATGGTGTGTTCTTACATAGAAGGCACTTAGATGAGTGTCTAGCATGTAGTAAGCTTTCATTTTCTTTAATCCTAACAACGAGCCTATGACAGAAAGAAATCAAGGCACAGAGAGGTTAGGTAACTTGCTCGAGGTCCTAGTGCTGGTGAACTAACTCATTGCTGGTACCTGCTGCATAGTATTGTGGAGAGGACTCTTCCTTGGCTGTTCCCCTTTGACAGGCAGTTGGGATGCTTCCAGTTGTCACAGTTTCAGATAAGTTTGCCCAGAGCAGCCTTGCACACCTCTGGACACACGTGTGTGTGTCTGGAGGAGGAACTTCTGAGTCATACAGGGACCCAGTTGCGTTTCTTTAAACTCAATGTAGCACCATCATTTCCCACACACCACAGGCCCATGACCGACGCTTTGAATGGCTGCGTCACGCCCCCTTCTGTGCACGGCCTCACTTGCTTCCCCTTCCCCACTGGGAAACACGGGTTGTTCCGTTTTTCTCTTTTAATGTTGGATTACTTTAAAATTGCTTCCAGCTCTTCTTTCTCTCTATCACGACTTTGTAGCACTCCTGCCAGGGAAATTCCTGCATTTCCATAGTTTACAGGGATCCTCTCCCTGTTTGCCACCTGGACCATCTCAGGGAATGCAGTTGGTATTGGCCTGCCCATTTTACAGTTGGGGAAGCTGAGTCACAGTGACGTGACAGAGTCCCATTGGAGTCGGGACCAGGACTCCAGGCTGCAGGGTTCCCATTTGGTGTGCTGAGGAATCTTGAAAAATGCCCAAGCTCCTGGAGGTCAGGGCCTGTCTTTTCCCTTCACGCGTCCCTGGTGCTTAGCACAGAGCCTGGTAGGAATAGGCACTGGGGGAAGTAAGGTGAGAAGACATGAGTGAGGAGTGAATGGATGCCTGCTTGAGTCCGTTCAGCCAGTGAACCCGGCAACTGTCTGAGACGCAGTGAGTGCTGACGTTTGTTAAGCATGTCCCACTTACTGTGTGTCAGGTCCTTCCTAAGCGTTTTCTGCACGTGTTAACTCTTTGATCGTCATAATCTTCCAGGGAAGGCTCTACTCTCACCACCCGTTTTACAGAGAAAGGAACTGAGGCATCCAGAGGTTAAGTACCTGAGGCAGGGTGCACAGCCCATAGATGACAGAGCCAGGATTCAGATGACCAGCGTGGAGGACCCCACAGTCCCGTCTCTTCACCCTACTGTCTCCTGCCTCCCCTCAGCCCTGCATTTAGCAGAGTCATCACCCTCCTGTCCTCAGTCTCTGGCCCTATGAGCCACAGCTTTCCCCCAACTCTTTTCCCCCTTCCTCTTCAGCAGCAGGCAGTGGCAGGGGCTTTGTGGTGTTTCTGTGGGACTGGGAATGTTTCAGAGGTTGCTTTCCTTAGCCAAGCGATCACTTTCTCCTCTGCTGGCTGGCTTCCTCTCTGTGGCTTTGGACACCAGACCTCCTGGAGGGCCCAGGGCCCAGCATGACCATGCAGTAGATGAACGAGGGCTCCTGTAGAGGAAGGGGCTGGTCTCTATCCTCCTGTTTTTCTGGATGTTTGTGACCTTCCTCTCTCCTTGACTCCTGCAGTGGTCGGGCTCGACATACAGGATGAGATGGGCAGGCACGAAGTGGGCCACATTGACAACTCCATGAAGATTCCGCTGAATAACGGGGCCGGCTGCCGCTTCGAGGGGCAGTTCAGCATCAACAAGGTACGGAGACCCTGCCTGGGCCCATTTTACCTGCTCCCCACTCCCTCCGGCCCCTCCCTCCCTGGAAACCAGTTGGTGGAGCTGTGCACCCACTCAACCTGACCCCAGCAGAGCCCCCGGCAAGCTAAGGGTCTGTGTCCAGCTGCCTGGAAGTTCCTGCTAAGAATCTGGGAGGGGGTTCCAGGCTCCCTGGGTTTTCAGCCCCTAATGGCTGGTTCAGGAAGGGCTATTCTCCTCCCTCCCCAGTAGGGGAGATGGTGGGTGGTGAGAAGACCTTAGGATTTGCAGCCCCAAACCCTGAATTCAAGTCCCAGCTCTATCCCCTCTTGGCCCAGCAATGCCCTACAAGTCTCTTGACCCATCTTAGCCTCAAGTTTTTCAACCTTCAGGTTGAGGGTGTGATGGTAGTAATAATATAATGATACCATCCCCTTCACAAAGTTTGCATGAGGATTAAGTGAGCTAATACACATTCATTCATTCAAAAATATTTTTATTGAGCACCTTTGACATTCCAGGGTCGGTTGTAGGCTCTGGGGCAATGCATTGAATTGATGGGCAACATTCCTGTGCTGGTGAAGCTTACATTCTAGTGGAGGCAGACAGACAATCTATGAACTAAAAAACGTTTCAGTGGATGCTAAGTGCTGCGATGAGGAATAAAGCAGAGGTGAGTGAGACAGGGTGGGTTTGAAAATACCTTGTCCGCTCCAAAGGACCACTCCAGTATCACTGTTGTTCTGTCTCTAGAACCAGGAGCTTCAGACCTGTAGGTACAGTGCACTTGGGAGGGCTGAGGAATCCCCACAGGAGCCAGCAGGGATTGCTTAGCATGTACTGGCCCTTCTTAGCTCAGTATTGTCACAGTGGAGCCTCTCAGCAACCCTGTGAGGTAGCACCATATTACAGATTAGGATTCTGAGACCCTGAGAGGTTAAGTATCTCGCCTGAGGTCACACAGCCACGCATGTCCCACAACTCCCCTTCCCAGTCTCAGCCAAATTGAGCCCCTGGCCACTGCTGAATTCTGCTTGCCCTCCTGCAGCCTCTGCTCAGAATGCCCCTTCCTCTAATCCCTGGTACCTGAACTGGAGGTTGCAAACTCACTGGCTGCAGCCAGCCCAAAGACAAGTTATGTTTGTCCTATAGAGCATTTAAGCACATCAGAGCCAATATTAAAAGATCAAGAGTCCAGACTTCCAGCTCTTAAAAGTCAGAAGCTGTAACTACACTGGGCCCACATTCCTTAGGGACAATGATCTGGCACCAAGGAACAGCTTTCCCTTTTGGACAGGGCATGTGCTCTCCCTTCTCACAATCGCTGATGGGTAGCTGGGAGGCTACGCCTTGTAGTCTCTTGAGCAGGTTGGTTCAGGGGCCCCCTAAGTGCTAAAGCAGAAGCTGCATGGCCTTCTTAGGCTTCAGCTGAAACTGGGAAAATGTTAGGAATGCAGATTCTCAGGCCCCACCTCAGACCTACTGAATCTGTGTCATAGAAAGCCCTCCTGGAGATTTTAATGCCACTAAAATTTGAGGACCATTGGTCTAAGCAAGATTACCTAGGGAGAGGGTGTAGAACCTGGTTCTAAACCTGGAGCCCACAGACACCCCCAAGGAGTACAAATTAAAGTCTAGGAGTCTACAAACTTGGATGGGGAAAAATTACATCTTTATTTTTATTTTATTTTATTTTATTTTTTTCCAAAAGATGACCAGTAAGGGGATCTTTTTCCCTTGACTTGGTATTGTCAGCACTATGCTCTCCCATATGAGCTAACCAACCATCCCTATATAGGGATCTGAACCTGTGGCCTTGGTGTTATCAGCATCACACTCTCCCAAGTGAGCCATGGGCTGACCCTACATTTTTATTTTTACTAAGCTATAACTTAAATTAAATTTAGCATTATCTTCTGCAATGAATACAGGCAACAAACCATAGTAATATTAGTAGTGTCCATGACTTTATCACCAACAGAAATTGTCAATATTTATATCACATCACAATTATTGCAGGTAATCTTGAGATACAGTTTACATTCATTACTACTTTGAAATTACAGTAATTATTTGACCTACTCGTAGGTTTTGTTATTTGATGCATTAATGAAGAAGCATATTCAAATATAGTTTTTAAAATATTTTAATTACTATTTAAATATAATTTCTTTCCTTCATAATCCTATGTATTTTATGCATTTAAAACATTTTAAGTATTTAAAACATAGGTGTCACCAGACTGGCAAAGGGGGGCGTCCATAGCACAAAAAACATTAAAAACCTGAGGTCTCGAGAGTTTGAGGACTGATTTCTCGTGCACTCCATCACTTAGAAGTGGGGAGGTAAAGGGGATAACAAAAGGTGTCCGAAAGAGCGGTCAAACAGGCAGGAGGAAACAAGGGCTGGGGGGTGCCTGGAATCTAGAAAAGAACCAGAGAGGAGGGGTGCTGCTGCAAGACTGAGGAAGTCGAGGCCGGGGTGGACCACCCGTCTGTGTGCTGCAGAGAGCGATCCAGGGAAAGCTGGTGATGGGGAGAGAACGGGCGCTGCAGGAGCCACGTCCTTGGGAGGCAAAGGCGGAGGTGGATCCAGGCCACAAGCTGGGGGGTTGGCTTTGGAAAGGACGGAGGGCAGGGGTGTGGGCACAGTACCTGTCGGCGGGTGGGACTGGGGGTAGGTCTTTGCTGTGCCTCCACACCCTCAGCCTCTTGGGGAACTGCTGCTCACCCACAGGTCTGTTGATGTAGTCCCTTGGGGGAAGCCCTCCGTCACCTTCTGCTGCCACCCAAGTACTCTCTCTCACGACCCTCATCACACTGCTGCTCATGCCTGTTTCCTCCCCGAGGCTTATGTCTCTTGCTCCTCCCTCTGACTCATTCGCTTATACATCTGTGCTGCTGAGCGTCTGCTGAGTGCTTGGCACTGAGATTCTGTGCAGAAACAAACAGCTGTGGTCCCTGCCTTTGGTACATCCATGAGGCTGAGTGTCTGCTGAGTGCTTGGCACTGAGATTCTGTGCAGAAAGAAACAGCCATGGTCCCTGCCCTTGGTGGCACTCACAGTGTCTAATGGGGTAACAGCCCACAAACAGGCAAACACTCAAACAAGTAAATGCACGCTTGCGATAAAGCAGCAGCTGGGACAGTGAAGGGGGTGCCTTGGTGGAGAATAAAGGAAGAGGCCCCTGGGGTAGGGTTGGGAGGGACAGCCTGTCCAAGAGTGATGGTTGAAGATAAGCAAACACACAGCTGTCAGTGGTTAGGGCCTCCCCTAGAGAAGTCTGATCACCTGGGCACCTGGGTTAAAAGAAAAAATGTACCCTTTGGACAGTGGGCAATGAGAGACCATGTTTATTCAGGTCTCCATGCCAGGCCACTGCACACGCCCACCTCTTGGCAAACATGCCCAAGGCTGCAGTCTGCTCCCCTTACATGGGCCATGTTGGGGCCCCACTGGCTCTGGAACTTGCCCTTTGAGGTCAGACATACCTGTGGTCAAGGTCCTGGCTATGATGCTCACTGGTTGAGTGACTATGGGCAGTTTAGCTTCTGTGAGTCTCAGTTTCCCTATCTGTAAAATGGGGAAAATAATACTGACCTTGGGCTGGCTGGTTAGCTCAGTTGGTTAAACTGTGGTGCTGTAACACCAAGGTCAAGGGTTTGGATCTCCATACTGCCAGCCGCAAAAAATAAAAAAATTAAAAAATAATAACACTGACCTCACAGGTTGTGAGACATGCTCAAATTAAAATACGTAAAGCACTGAATGCAGAAGTGACTGGATGGGCATCAGCGCCCCTTTCCTGGCCTTCCTTGCCTCTCGTCGGTGGGAGGCATCTGTGACCTCATCGGTTGGCAGCCACCATCACATCACCTGGATACAAGTGTGCTTATACAATGTCTTTCCTGGCCTTCCTTGCCTCTCGTCGGTGGGAGGCATCCGTGACCTCATCGGTTGGCAGCCACCATCACATCACCTGGATACAAGTGTGCTTATACAATGTACGTGGAGGACATCCAAGAAACGGGCCTTCTTTGGTCAGGGGAGGGATTCCATGAAAGGGCCACACAGGCCCTCATGTCATGGCTACCCCTTGTGGGGTTCTTTCCACAACAATAGCTCTGAGGAGACTGAGGCACCAGAGATTAGTAACCTGCTCAAGGTCACACAGCCAGGATTTGAACCCTCTTTATTCCAAGTCTGCTGCCAGTTGCTGCTTCTCCCAACATCCCGGTTACACGTGCTATACCCAATCATGCCTGTGTACTCCAGGTCACAGCCCAGGCCACCCTCTGCCCCCGACCGTCAGAGGGAGTGGAGACCCCCGCCACCCACTCTCCTCCACTGAAGGTTTGTGCCTTCAAGGAGCTGCCCGCTGAGGGGTGCTCAGACAAGGAAGCCAGCAGAGAGCGTGCTGTGATGACGAGCCGGTGTGGACCCGCACTCCATCATCCCCCGACATCAGGCTGAGACTTGTCACAGGGCCTCCTTATCCACCCATCGGGAAGTAGGCCAGCAGCCAGATGTCAGCGTTTGTGTGTCTGAAGCTGCAGTGGCTGCCCCCACGTGAGACCACATGGCAACCTCGCTTAATCACCCCCGCACCAAGGAGGAGGGCAGGATGGGGTGGGGGGAATGGGGTCTGGCTCCAGCTATATGTTTTTAAAATCCACCGGAGACACTGACGTAGGTTCCTCAGTCACAGGCTCTAAAAGCGTCGTCTTTTCTTTCTTCAGCCCAGCGTGTGCTGGCATGAGTCAGCCACCTGTGATGGATCTGGTGTGGCGCGGGAGTGGGTTACTGAGTCACAGCCTCGCGGGGCCCGGCAGCGGGTGGCAGATGTTCGGGAGCCAGCCTTATTGACTCACCCAACTCTGGGAACATGAGGCCCAGGCCCCAAACCCAATTCTGGACTCTGCCCATGGCCCAATCCACAGGAGGCCCACGTCACTACATGCCGGAGACTATCGGCTTCTTATTCCCGGGGGTGGTAGGCAACAGGGACTTTGGTTCTGACTGTATCACATGAATGTTTTGTAATGAAAATGTATCCAGATATTATTTATATCAGTGAAAATAGAGTTTAAATATTTTTCTTTAAATACAGGGGGCCTTTCCTCATGCTCCACCTGTGTATGTGCTGTTTCCTCTTCTGGAAGGGCCCTTCTCTATTGGCTTTGATGACAAATGCTATAAACCTGACCACATAACAACTGCCCACTGCTTTGCACTCATCACCTCATTTAATCCTCCCAATAACCCCCTGTGGTTACTATCCCCATTTTGCTGATGGAGAAACTAAGGCACAGAGTGGTTACTGACCTTACCAGAGTCCCCCCAGCTAGAAAGTGGGGTTGTACTTGAACCCATGTGTAGAATTCAGAGCCACTGCTCTACCAAGGGGTCCCTGTAGTGGGTACTGCTGTCCCTTGAGGTCTTGCCAAGGTGTCATTTCTGTTCCACCCCAGACCCGATGGGTTATCCCTTTCTCCACTCCAGCCCACAGCACACTCAACTGTGGGCCCAAAGAGGCCGGGACCATGCCCTGTCCACTTGATACCTTCCACATCACTCCAAAGCTCAGGCCCTGCTGAAGACAGCAGTATTCCTGTTGAAGTCGTCAACTTTGTGTTTGAAACAGACATGCTTGCAAAAGCCACAGACATAGACTGCTGCATGCTAAATGACAAGCTGTCTTCCTTCGTTTGATGCAGTTCACTCAATCTTCATTAGGCTGGAGTAAGATGAACCCTGAGTTTTTCAGTGTGGCATTTGGGGCCTTTAATAAGCAGCCCCACTCCCTCTTGTGCCTCTTTGTTTCCCATTGCTGCCAACCCCCAGACCCCTCTCTTATTTGGGGCTCAACAATACCACACTCTTCTGGCTCCTTAGATGTGCCATGCACTGGATGGTTTCTGGCTTCCACACTTGTTCATGCTATTCCCTCTGCCCAGATGCTGTTCCCTGTCTTCCTGAGTAATGCAGTCTCAACTTCAGAGGCTTAGCACAAGGGTGTCCTTTCCCCTAGGAAGCTCTCCCTGAACATGCCTTGTACCCCCACCTGAGCCAGGGGTCCTCCCTGTGGCCTGCACAATTTGTACATCCCTCTTAGGCCAGTGTGGATCACACAGGGTCTCATTGTCTGTCCCAAGTCTGTATCACAGCAGTCCAGGAGCTCTGTCAGGGCCGGGCTTTTGTCTGGGTCATTCCCCCCAACCTGGAATCTCCTGAAGGACTGGCTCCATGTGGCCATCAGCGCAGGGCTGCTGAGGTGGGTGGCATCTAGGCATCATCAACAGGACGGAGCAGCATGTCCAAAAGACAAAACTTGGCTCTTGACATGTGACCTTAGCAAGTTTCTTCACTGTTCTGAGCCTCAGTCTCCTTTTCTGTAAAATGGGAATTCTCAGGTGCCAAAGCCAAAGGATTAAATGTCATCTGTTCATTCATTCATTCATTCAATAAATATTTACTGAACACCTGCTGTCTGCCAGGGTCTGGGGAGTACAGCAGGGAACAAAACAGACAAAAATCCCTGCTGGCCTGGACCACACATTCTAGTGGGAGCAGACAGTGAGGACCAGATAAGTGTAGGATGGCAGGTGATGCTATGTGCTTTTAGCACGCAAGGGGATGGGGGACCAGGTGCTTCTTTGGACAGGTGGACAGGGAGGGCCTCTCTGATGAGAGGATACCTGATCACGTGCCTGAGGGAAGTGAAGGAGAGCCCTGGGGAAAAGGGTTCCAGTAAGGGGGCGACAGGCACAAAGGCCCCGAGGTGGGCAGGCCAGCATGGCCAGATGGGTGTGAGCAGAGCAGAGAGTGTTAGGAGATGAGGCAGAGAGGTTGGGGCAGTGTGTGGCCCCTGGGCCACTGGGATGACATGGGCTTCAACTCTGAGAGGACAGAAGCCTTGGAGGGTTGTGGGCAGAGGAATGACAGAATAAACACAGGGTTTACAAAGATCTTTCTGATCACTGTTGGGGAAAGGCTTCGGCTGGGGGGAGGGTGGACGCTGGGAGCCCCAGGGGAGGCTGCCCTCGTTGTCCATCCAGGGAGGACCTTGGACCAGGGGACCAGGGGAGGCTTGAGGCGGAGTCAGACACTGGGTGTGTTTTGAAGGAGGAGCTGACAGTTTCAGGCACCCCACCCTGTGGGATAGTCAACCAAACTCCTGAAACTTGTGTTTCTCTCCCAGGTCCCCGGCAACTTCCACGTGTCCACACATAGTGCCACAGCCCAGCCACAGAACCCGGACATGACACATGTCATCCACAAGCTCTCCTTTGGGGACACACTGCAGGTGAGCAAGGGACACTCAAGGTGGTGGGGCCAGGGGTGGGTGTACAGGGGCTTTGTCACCCGGTGCCTACTCTGCCCCCTGGGCACAGGGAGAGGCCTTCCTGAGAGGTCGCCCATTTGAGGCTCCACTTCATCAGGCACCTCCTCTTTATTGTTCCTTCTGCGTGCAAGGCTGCAGCTTCCTCAGCACTGCCCTGTGCCCGGAACCTCAGGCTGAGACCTGGAGTCTGGGGAGAAAGAGACTCATCTTTAACTACCAAGTGTGCTAAGTGCCAGCGCTTTCTCTGCTAATGCAGCCTCCTGAGGTAGGTGGGAGCATCCCATTTTACAGACACAGAGGCCAGGCTCAGAGAAGCCATTTTTACAGGGTCCCCCAGCAGGTCTGTGTGACTCCACGGTCCAGCCCACTCCCCTTCACGACCATCTCTGCCTTACTGCTCATTAAATAGGGATAATGCAGGAAATGGAGTATCTTGAGAAACCTTGCTGTCTTCAAGAGGGCCACCTCTGGCAGGTCTGGCTGACAGTCTCCTCCCCTGGCAGCAGCACCCGCAGGCTCTTTGCTTTAAACACACAGCAAAGGAACCAAATGGTTACCACCTGTTCCCTGATGCTGCAGGCAGGTAGGCACTGATGTTGTCTCTCTTCTCCACTCCCCACAGCAGCCCGAAGGTAAATTCTATTACACCCTATCTTACAAAGAGGGAATCGAGGCTCAGAAGTAGGGTGTGATTGCTCCAGGCCACAGTGCTGCAATTAGGACACTGGAGTCCTGGCCCAAGCCTTGCTTGGCATGACTCCTGATTTCCTGACTGAGGATGCTTGGCAGGTGCCCTCCAAGCATGGCAATGTGCATGCAGGCCCACAAATACACACACATACACTGTTACAACACATGTGTGCACACACATCTGCTCAGACTTACACACTCTCATCAGATGCATACTCAAAGGTGTGCCCTGACATGTGTGCTCATGTTCACACCCTGAGACTCCTCCCTGAACATATACACACCACCCAGAGACATGCACAGACTTACCCAGGCTGGAACCTCTTCTGTATAGACTCATACACGCTCATGGCTACGCTACCCGTTCACACGTAGGACAACTCACAACAAGTGATACCTGATATGGGTTGAATGCTTTCTGTGTGCCAGGCACCATGCTTTACAAGCGCAGTCTTCTTTCAGCTTCTCAGCAGCCCAAGAGGTAGGTGTGTTATTGCCCCCACTTTACAGAGGAGGAATTTGAGAGAAGCACACAGGGTACATCTGCCACGCAGCTGTGGCTATACGTGCACGTTGTCGAGCACATTCACAATCACACTTCCTTTGTCTGCTCAATCCGCTTGCTTGTGCTTTCTTCTCCCCAGGCACTCTGTGCCCAGCCTGAGTAGCCCAGTCAACACCCTTCCATTCCTTTTGGGGATCCAAGAGGTTTTCTTCTTGGGCACAGACCTCAGAAACAGAAGGACCAGCCTCCCAGGATGCCATGGGCCAGAGTCCCTGACCACACACCCAGTGAGACACAGCCCACCCTGGGACCCTGGGCTCACCCATGCAGGCAAATGTACACAGGATCTGCCAGTCACACCCATCTCTCAACCTAAGGGACCGTCATGGAGAGGTTGGGAGGCTGGGTTCCCGAGCCTGCCTTTCTTCATTCAAATCACTTTTTTTTTGCCAATATGGGGACCCGAACTCTGGGTTCAAATCTTGACTCCACCACTTGGACAAATTATTTATTCTTGGAAAATTACTTATTCTTTCTAGGCCTCAGTTATCTCATCTGTAAAATGGAGATGGTAATAACACCAGCCTCATAGGACTGTTGTGAAGGTAGAATGAGTTAATAATGCTTTCAGAACAATGCCGGGCATGGAGTGAGCGGTCAGTGAGGTTAGCTATTACCATTGTTGTTATCTGTGCCAGGCCCCGTAGGATAAAACATGCTGCTGGCCCTCAAAGGGCTCACACAGCTATGGAAGAGACAGACACCTGGGGTGATCACCACCCCCATGGGACAGGGGCTGACACAACATGGGCAGTCTGTGGGGCTGAGGGCTGCTTTTGTACCCACTAACTCACCAAATCCTCACAACAGCCCTGGAAAGTGGGCACTGTGAACCCCAGGGTGTAATTGGTGAAACAGGTACAGTCACTTGCCCAAGGTCATGCAGCTCATTAGTGGCACAACCAGAATTTGACCCCAGTCTTTGTACCACACCCTTCTACACAGGGGACTTCTGACACCGTGGGGCTGAGGGCTGCTTTTGTACCCACTAACTCACCAAATCCTCACAACAGCCCTGGAAAGTGGGCACTGCGAGCCCCAGGGTGTAATTGGTGAAACAGGTACAGTCACTTGCCCAAGGTCATGCAGCTCATTAGTGTCACAACCAGAATTTGACCCCAGTCTTTGTACCACACCCTTCTACACAGGGGACTTCTGACACCTTTGGCCTGCAGAGCACTGTTTAATTTTCACGAAGACCCCCTGAAGGGTGTCAGATGGGATTTATTTTTTCTGATAAGGAACTGCATCAGAGAGATTCCATAATTTGTCCAAGGTCACACGGTTTGCAAGAAACCAGGTGTGTCTTGGCCCTGGGTCCTCCCTTACTGTCCCTTATATAGTCATGTATTCATCAGACCCTCTAAATTTTCTGCTCTTGCTGGACCCTGGGTTTACAGCAATGAATAAACAATACAGGATTCTCCCCTCAAGTGAAGATGAGATATAATGTAAATACACACAATAGTACAGATCAAGGAGTGCTAAAGGCAAGAGAAGCACAGGATTCTGGACAATGATGTTAGGAAAGGGGAGTACCCCGACCCTGGGAAGTCAGGGAGGGCTTCCCAGAGGAGGTGACCCTTAAGGTGCCATCTAAGCCAAGTCCTCAAGAGTAAGAAGAGTTTGGCCAGGCACTGGATAGGGAAATGGTTCCTGAGCAGGGGGTGTCTCAGATATCACCCTTTCCTAATCACCCTGGGAAATCAGGGAGGGCTTCCCAGAGGAGGTGACCCTTAAGGTGCCATCTAAGCCAAGTCCTCAAGAGTAAGAAGAGTTTGGCTAGGCACTGGATAGGGAAATGGTTCCTGAGCAGGGGGTGTCTCAGATATCACCCTTTCCTAATACCCATTCCAATGACCATGCAACAGGTCATTTTTATATAAAAGACCCTTAAAATTGCTTTCAACAAAATGGATCAGTAAATGTCCGTGACACCAGTATGACATTCTATACATGAGATGCCAGAGGCCCAGGGAAGAAGGGAGGGCTCCTCAGAGTCAGCTGACAGGGGAGCAGGGAGCTGGGGTTTATGTGGGGTGAGAAACCCGTGTTCGATTTAGGAAGGTGGAGACTGACAGGTCAGGTTGGGGTCCCGTCTGCTGTGAGGAAGACAGCCCATGAGGCAAGACAGGAGACAGGGAGGTGAGTGAAGGGCTGCATCCCAGGCCAGGGAAGATGAGGGCCCAGGCCATGGCAGGTCAGAGGGGAGAAGAGGAGAGGAGGGGCTGATGAGGGAGGGGAAGCAGTCTTGCACTGACACGTGTGGTGGCAAAACAGGACAGCAGCAGCCCTCTGCTCAGTCATTAGTGCGGTGGAAACTTGATTTTTTCTTAAATCTACAAAACTTGGCTGAGGGCCCATCCATTGCCTATACGTTCATTTGTTTATTGAGTACCTACTATGTGCCAGGCCTTGTGAACACTGGTGAGAACGAGGGTGGTCCCTGCCTGTGTGGAGCTTCTAGTCTAGTGGGGAAGAGAGATGTTAATCAAATAATTGTACAAATAAATGTGAGATAAAACTGTGACACGTGACAGTGGAAGGGAACATTCTAACACTCTTGTCTCCATAACCACCACCCTTGTGGGTTAGAAATCAGGTCTTCAGACTGTCAGTCCCAAGGCAGTAAATGGACAGCCTTCCCTTTCCTCTGGGCTTGTTGAGAGTGTGCAGTTCTGTTAAGTGCCCCATAAACATCAGCTACCCGAGACTGGGATCAAGGATCAGGTTACCCACCTGCTGTCCACTGCTCCTGGAGCCTGTTCCCACCTACCTCTGTGATCTCCCCTCCTTCCCACACCTCACCCTGCTTCCTCTCTGGGGCCATGTGGGCCTCTGCTCCTCAGTCTCCAGGCTCAGGCTTGGACAGGCTACATGTCCGATTAACTTCCTGCTTTCCTCCAGATCTTAATGTCAGTGTCACTTCCTCCAGGAAGGCCTCCAGAGTGTCTAGCTCAGTGGCCCCTGTTGACTGAGCCTATGGTGGCATGCTCCATGTACCTGTGTGCCTTGTCCTGCTCTATATGCTCCTTGAGGCTAACCTGTTTTCCCGTCATCCTCTGAGAAGAGGTGGGATGAGGCTTTTAGCCCCACTCTACAGCAGCCCCTGCTGGGGGGACACAGCACAGCCAGCTGCCAGGAAGAGGGGTCTCTTCACAGACACAGTAGGAGGCCAGCGGCTCTAAGGCACCCCCATCTTGGGCTTTGCTAGGGGCCTTTCAGAGGGTTGTGGGGTTCTCAGGAGGAGCCTGCTGAGACCCAGAATCCACCTTTACTTGAATTTTCTATTTGGCTTAATGCTGAGAGTTTAGCCTTAGGAGTCAGGCAGACCTGAATTCAGAGTTTGGCTTAGCCAGCTGCAGGACACTAAGCAAGTACTGGTGCTTCTCCAAGCTTTGGTTTGCTTTTCTGTAAAATGGGCCCAACAATACATCATTAGCGGCATTAAATGAGATGACATGAAGTGGCCAGGACAGAGTGGCACACAGTAGGTGCTCAAAATGGGAAGCAAGCTAATGTCTACTGTGTGCCAGGCCTGTGCTGTTTCTTCCTCCCCACAGCTTCTCTACAAGACAAACCCTCCTGGATCCCCCATTTACACATGAGTAAGGTTCTTGGAGCAGGTGGCACCTGGCTGTTCTCCCACAGCCAGGGCCAGGCCTGGAGGTGTCAGCGTCCTGGGCACTGTCCCCTCATTGTGCTTCTCCACAGGTCCAGAACGTTCACGGAGCTTTCAACGCTCTTGGGGGAGCAGACAGACTCACCTCCAACCGTACGTATCCCAGCTGGAAACAGCCTTCTCCTCCAAGTTTCCTGAAAGGGGGAGCTCAGAGGGACAGGAATGCTTATCATACACTTGCTCCGAGGCAGGGAAGTTCACGCTCCATTCCCACAGCCAGCCTGTGAGGAAAGTGGAATTATTCCCATCTTATGGAGAAGGGAAGAAAAGCAACTTGTCCCCAGGGAAGGTATGTGGCGTCCCTTGGCACGTCATGCGCGCTCAGTGGATACCAGCTGTTGTTATTGCTGTTATCACCACTGCCACATCATTGTTCGTCGTTGAGATAATCACCTAAGATCCCATAGGAAGTGAGGGCAGGGCCAGAATCTATTCTGGCTCTAAGTCGCACTGTGAGTACAGGTCCGTAGGTGGCCCAGTCAGGTCTGACCACGCAGGCACCTCCCCGACCCCTCCCATCAACAAAGCCTCCTCCTGCAGTCCTTTCCCTCAGCCCAGATTAAAGAGGTGCCACATCTCCACAAGCAGGCAGAAGAGTGTTTTCATGTGTGCACACACACCTACCCACACGTGTGCGCACATGCCCATGGGGCCCTGGGATGTGCACAGAACAGGCCTGAGAAGCCTGTCTGCTCAAGCAGACCCCCCTCCTGCTGGATCCTGCTGGGCAGGCTGCCTTGACTTTTCTTATTTCCTCGCCTGAGCTCACCTTTTTTCACCCGTATGGCTTTTCTTATTATTTCCTAAAATACATTTGCTCTCCCACAGTTGGGAATCCAAGCAAAAGAAAACATCCCTCCATGACCTGCCCTTTGACACAAATCCAACTTTTCATTTCACTTTGTCCCTGTGAAATCCTTGTCTGTGAGCAGAAGTCCGTTTTGTTTTTCCAAGGCTTAGTTAGCAATTTACCTTCTGATTTTTGTACTTGGCATTGTTATATAACCACATTTTTATACTTTCCAATTATAACAGAGGCACAGTTGCTCATCGTAGCTCTGCTGTGCTTTATTCAGGCATGGTCTTGTTAAAAATGTCCGTTGTCTCTAGTTTTTTACCATTACAGGAATGAGTCTGATATGCTTGCTTTACATGATCCAGCTGCTTTCCAGCTGGGTGTGTGTCTGTTCATGCTGCCTCCGGCAACGGACGAGTGTACAGCGGTACCTCCTTTCTGGTGGATAGTGCCTCCTTGTTTTGATGCAAATGTCCGGTTGTAACAGAGATGGATAATTCTTCATACAGTGGCATAATCAGTGTTCCTGTGTGAGGGTAGCGTGTTGTCCCAAGGTGGCCATTCACAAACACCTGCCATGAGGATGGACCCTCAGCTGCTTGACACTGGAAGAAGATCAAGCCAAGAAGGCCCCAGAATGTCAGAGCAGATAGACAGTGTGGACGGGCTGGCTTAACTGGAGAGAAGAGTATTAGATCAAGCAGTAGACAGCCAGGGGTAGGGCTGGCTTTTATTTCCTCAGCTCCCAGGCTCAGTCCCCCCACTGGCCCTTTGCCTTCACAGGTCCCTCTGTGCCCAGGTCTTCCGATGGGGGCTTCTTCTTGTCATTCAGGTCTCAGTTCAAATGCCACCACCTCAGAGAGACCCTCCCTGACCGCCATATCCAAAGTAATCCTCACTCCTAGTGACAAACCTATTTTTCTTCCTAGCACATCCCACTCTCTGAAATGTTCTTGTTCTTGGCTGTCACTCCAACTAGAACATAAGTTCCGTGAACTTGGGGACTTGGCCTTGCCCACTGTTCTGTCCCCAGGACCCAGCCCAGTACCCAGGGTTTGGTAGGTGTATAATCAATGGTAAGAAGTGATGAGCGGTCACACCCTGGAGACCACTGTGGAAGAGCCCCTGCCACATGGTCGTGCGGTGTGGTGATGAGGACCGCGGACTCCACAGCCCCACTCCACCGTTTCCCAGCCCTGTGGTCTGGGGAAAGTCATTTAATTCCTCCTAAGCCTCAGTTTCTGCATCCCTAAAGTGGGGAGAATCCTCCACCTTACAGCCTTGCCATGAGGATTAGTGAAATGCATGGAAGGGGTTTAGAACACGGCCCAGAACACAGTGAGCACTCAGTAAATGTTAGCCATTCTCCTCGTCGCTGTCAACAGCTACCTTCAGGAACGAGACTCCCTAGAGCAGCATCTAAGGTGAACCTTTCTTATGTGGAATTGTGTCCTGAATTGTGTAACTGGTCCTGAATGGTGTAACTGGAATCAAAACAAACTTGCCATATATACATGGGCTACTGGTTTAAAAATGCAGATTCAGAGCGCCCCCCCCAGGGTTGGGGTAGGGACAAAACAAGACTGATCAAGTATTGGTGGTCGCTGAAGCTGGGAAGTGGGTACATGGGAGTTTGTTATATGGTTCCTTATTTTTCTTTATGTTTGAATTTTTCCATAATAAGATGTTTGGAGGGAAGGAGGGAGTGAGGTAATGGAGGGAGAGAAGCTGAAGGGAATGTGGGCCTGCCTGGACCAAGTCAGAGCCAGCAGTCCCTAGGAGTGGTCAGCTAACAAGGAATCCACGTGGGTGTATTTAAGGACAGTGTCTCTAGTGGGCCTTTGGCAAATTGTATCAAACGCCTTAAAAATGGCCACTGACTCATAGAAGAGTAAGCGAAGGAAATAATTAGGGGATTGTACAAAGATCCAGGAAAGTCATATTCATTGGGTCATTGTTTATGTGTGAAAACGAGGAAGTGCATCAGTGTTCAGCCATAGGGGGTTGGTTGAGTATGTCACACATGCCCACATCATGGGATGCATGCAGCTACTGACCATGATGTATCAGGCCGTCGCTGGCAGTCAGGCAGCAAACATGCATTGAGCACCTAGTATATGCCAGGTGCTGGGCTAGGTTCTGGTTCTAGGAGGTGAATGAAACAGACTGCAATGCTTACATTCTGTGTCTTGGACCTGAGAAAATATTCATGATATTTAGATATAAGGAAAAGGTACAGTATGATCCTGTTTTAGGAAAACATAAATATTTGTATAAACATGAGTTTGGAAGTTTATACATGAGAATGTGAATCACAGTTTTCTGAGTATGGTAGATTTATGGGTGATTTTAATTTTTTCCTGTGTGATCACCTATGTTTTGTATTCTAACAAAAATAATACAGGTGTGATTTTGGTAAGACATTCATTTCAAGTGTTTAACCTGGGGCAGTGGGCATTAGCCCGGCCCTCAACCCATTGAGTGGGATTCTCTAGGGATGAGGTCCAGGTGCCTGCCTTTTAATTCCAGGTGATTCCAGTGCTTCTGACATCTTAGAACTGTTGCAGTGTTGAACAGAGGGGTGTTAGGGTCTTCATGAACTTGGCTCTGAGGCCCCAGGGCTTTTCCCGGGTTTTCAGAGGAATTAACTCAAAACAATTCAGGAAGCACAGTCCTTTCCTTACTGAGATGTGGTGTTGGCAGGAAGAGGCAGGGTGGGGTGTGCGTCAGGGCCATGAATACCGTCCATCTCCCCAGCCCTGTTAGAGAAGATGGGTCCAAGCACTCAGGACTGACTCGACTATGAGACCAGGACTAGAACTCACAGGCCTAAATTTCTGTGTTGTTGTAGCTCTGTAGTCCCTGACCCAAGATGGTAGAAGGTTGGTGAGCTTCTCTTAGCATCCCAGAAGGCCCAGGAGAATTCATACCTTTCCTGGGTGATATTTGGCAGCTTTGGGCCAGCATTCAATCAGCCTTGTGTTTGATTCCAGTTACCTCATGCTTATCTGTAGCTGATTCATCTGTTCTTCCATTCATGCCTCTGTCCAGTCATCCTTCTATCTGTTCATTCATTCAGTAAGCATTTGCCACCGTCCACTCTGTACCAGGCCCTGCGCAGGGCTCTTGGGACACAGAGATGAGTAACCGCCATCCAGGAAGAAGTGATCTGCCATTAATTGAAAATGAGGAAAGAAATCAATCAATTCTTCATAGATGTACTTTTTCTGGTTGGTGGGCTCTTTTTACAACTGAAACTCAGCTTGTTTTCAGAGTAAAAATATTCAAACAATACCAGAGGGTTCACAATGAAATAGGATCTTTCCCTAATCCTGTCTTCCTCCCCAGAGGCTAAAGCTGCTCATAGTGTTTGGGTATCTGTCCAGATGGTTCTTCTATATATTTACACACAGAGAGAAGGTATCTTCCCCTGCCCGCAATTCATGGAAACATGTTGTACATCCTGTCTGTAACTTGGTTCTTTTCACTTAACCATAACCCTTGGAAAGTAGCCTCTCCCAGCATCTGCTGTTTAATGGTTGCCCTATTGATGGACATTGGGTTGTTGGCAGAATTTTAATATTCTATACAGTGCAGTAGTAAATATCCTGGCAGGTGGATGCTCTCAATTCCTGGTATTCAAGGGGAGAAAATAAAGAGGGGGTGTGAAAATGTGAATGAGCCCCTGACAATGCCAAGCAAGTTTAGGATTGAAATGACATAGAAAGAGCTACCAGCCAGGCAATCTCCATCCCCCTTCTTCATTTTTCTGTGTATCCTTCTCACAGCCCTTGCCTCCCACGACTACATCTTGAAGATCGTGCCCACGGTTTACGAGGACAAGAGTGGCAAGCAGCGGTACTCCTACCAGTACACAGTGGCCAACAAGGTGCGCGGGCAGTAGCTGGGCCAACCTGTGTGCAACTGTGCCCTCTGCTGGCAGACAGCAGAGGTGACAAGTGGCTGCACCCGTGAGATTTGTGCTGCTTCCTTTCAGGAGGACTTATGGATGGGTAAAGAAGACCTGTCAAAGTGGTGGTCACAGAGTCAAGGGGAGAAAATCAACTGGGATATAGAAAATCAACTATATCAACATATAGATATATATGTTTGAGAAGGCAGGCGGCCTGTGAGATTTGTGCTGCTTCCTTCCAGGAGGACTTATGGATGGGTAAAGAAAACCTGTCAAAGTGGTGGTCACAGAGTCAAGGGGAGAAAATCAACTGGGATATAGAAAATCAACTATATCAACATATAGATATATATGTTTGAGAAGGCAGGCGGCTTCCCCCAGGGCTGCAAACATCTCAACAGCTCTGTATTTGGTCCCAATCCTTCAGACTCAGAACCCTGATTGGGCAGGCACACAATAGATGCTCCTGCTCTTGGGGCACAAGCACTTTATCCAAAATCACGCTCCCCCAGGGCTGCAAACATCTCAACAGCTCTGTATTTGGTCCCAATCCTTCAGACTCAGAACCCTGGTTGGGCAGGCACACAATAGATGCTCCTGCTCTTGGGGCACAAGCACTTTATCCAAAATCACGAGGCTGGTGAATCACACCAGGATGGCAATTCATTAACAACTGTTGATTATGAGAGATATCCCAGGACCCCAACACTCAAAGTCATGGGGAAGTAGGCAGGCCTCAGTGGGAAGCAGAGCATGGTCAGAGTCAGCAGAACAGGATGACCAACAGTTAGCGGTGTCAAACTGAGGCAGCCTCAGGCTTCTCTGGAGATGGTCCCAGGACCCTAACACTCAAAGTCATGGGGAAGTAGGCAGGCCTCAGTGGGAAGCAGAGCATGGTCAGAGTCAGCGGAACAGGATGACCAACAGTTAGCGGTGTCAAACTGAGGCAGCCTCAGGCTTCTCTGGAGATGCCCCTGCCAATGGGACACAAATTCTTGAAACCTACTGATTGAGATTCTGCCACAGATGCTGATGGGTGGGTTTTTTCCATCAGGGCCTGAGCAGACAGAGCACGGGTTCTGGACCACACTTCTACTTCAAATCCCAGCTCAGTCACTCACTAGCTATGGATCTGGGACACGTCAAGTAACCACTGTGTGCCTCGGTTTACTCGCTTGTAAAATGGGAATGGTTTCCACTTCATAAGATTGCTGTCAAATGAGGCAATATTTTCAAAAATGCTTAGCCTACAAAGAAGGCTTTGGGTAAATGATACTGCTGCTATTTTTCACTCTTTTTCTCTGTCCCTCAGCTCTGGGCTCTGACCCAGACAGTCACCCTGCGCCATCAGCCCTCCCTAGAGAAAGCTGATCTTTCTTTGCTCAAGGCTTCCTCCCCCAAGGCTTTGGCAAGGGCCCAGTGGCCAGAAGAGCTTGCTCAGCAATCTCTGTGGCTTTGGCTCCAGACTGCCCTGTGAGCAGGCAGCAACAATGCAGCAGGAAGGAGGTCAGGCCTCAGTGTTATCCTGAAAGTAGCCAAAAATGCTCAGGTCTAGCATTTGGGATTGGGGGTACCATGGTGGTTCAGTTTGGTCTCCAGTTTTGTAGTCCAGTGAGACTAGCTCAGAGATTTTTAGCACCCCAAAGTGACCAAACTGGAGAGGTTTCATGCGCCATCATCGCAGATCCCTAAGTGTTTTTAGATGGAGAAACTGAGGCCCTGTGGGAGCAAGGGACTGGCCCAAGGACACACTGTTAAATCAGCCCTTAGTGTCCTTTTAGTTCCTGCTGTGTACGTTCTGAGGAAAGTGTATGGCAGGGCTGGACCCTCTGGCTTTCCAGTTCTGTGTTCTTGCCCCCTTTGAAGAAGCTAGCTCACTCACACAGACTCAAAATTGGTACAGCCACTCTGGAGATACACTAACCCTTGACTCCAATCAGGGGACTTGTGAGTGAATGATTTTACACACACACAGCCGTCGGGACTCCTGCTTATCTGTCATGTGGCTCAGAATGTCTCCTTGGGAAGTCTTCCAGATTCCCCAGGGGAGAATTGGTCGTTCGTTCACGGCCCCCTCAGTACTCCATGTCTCTGTCTTACACACATAATTTGCAGTGTTAGGAGTATTTTTTTATCTGCCACCTTCTCCAAGCTGTGACCCCCTCTGGGAATGGAGCAGGGCTTGCTCACCTCAGAGACCTCAGCAGCCAGCACAGCAGAGGTGATCAGCAGACCATTGTTGAATAAATGAGTGGCTTTTGCATGGCCCAGCCGTTGAGGGGGGAGATGGGCCTTTACTCAGACTGAGCCAAAAATCACACTTTTCCTTTTACATGTCTGCTTTCAGATTCATATTTCAATTCTGGTGCAGCTTCCAGCTCACACGGTCAATTTCCAAACAGCCGGAAGGGTCAGAAATGCCCCCAGCAGCGTGGCTTATCCAGATGCGGATGGCAGAGCTTAGGGTCTCTGGGGAAAGGGTGTGAGATGAGGGTCCGGTGGAGTCTGGCTCCCTGGGGGAGAGAGGGAAGAAAGCCCTCTCTGGAGGGTTGCCAGGGGGACTCTCTGCAATCCAGCTCCCACCCACCTTGAGACAGTTTGTGCTTCTGATTCTCATGCCCGCTCCCTTCCTCTATCCAGGAGTACGTCGCCTACAGCCACACGGGCCGCATCATACCTGCCATCTGGTTCCGCTACGACCTCAGCCCCATCACGGTCAAGTACACAGAGAGACGGCAGCCGCTATACAGGTTTATCACCACGGTGAGTGGCCCAGGGCTTGGGGCTCGGGCCAGCCACCATGTGCCTGCTGTGGGCTCCCCTCTCTTGGCATCTCTCCCCTATTCTCCCCAAATCAGGACAAAGCCTGCAGGGGTAGGGGCTAAGGCAGAACACAGGAGTCTTTCATGTGCCTGCTGTGGGCTCCCCTCTCTTGGCATCTCTCCCCTGTTCTCCCCAAATCAGGACAAAGCCTGCAGGGGTAGGGGCTAAGGCAGAACACAGGAGTCTTTGACCTCCAGGATGCTGAGAAATGTTGTCAGAAACACATCAGTACCATGACAGAAAATATTTTGCAGGGGGAATGCCACTAAATTCATTTAATTCCTGCAGGAAATCTCTGTATGGTTCCACTAGATGTTTATGATTTTTAACAGTTTTTTTTATTTTTATGGAAACTACTCTTAGCAGGGTTTATCCTTTTCTGTGTAAATTTTACAGTGAAGATTTAACTCATTTTTTTTTCCATGATCAGTTCTCAATTATAGCTGCTGATATTGTCAGGGTTTTTCTTCTTTCCTTCCTGCCTGTTCTCTTTTCTCTTTCTTGCCATTGTCTCTACCACATCCAGTTTTCTCTGGGGCAGCTTCAAGTGGATATCAGTTTTCTTTTATGCTGATTATTTCTATCAAGTATACTGTTTTCTGGCCTCTCATCCAAAATGTTCTTGGAGTCAGAGCAGGAGGGTCAGAGTGCCCTGTTTCAGCCAAGAAGCTCAGGAGATGTTCAGTAAGCCAGAGTCAGGTGAGGTGGAAGAGATGGGGTGATTATCCCTACCTCACAGATTTGGAAACTGAGGCCAAAAGAGAAATAAAGCATTGGAAGGCCCTTATGCTTTTATACCTCTTCATACTTTTAATAATGGTTTTAAGACTGGCCAGTTTC